CAACTGATAGGGGTAGTCGTACAAGTTGGATCATAGTTTTAGAAATGAGATAATAGATGTAATAGATCAGAGTGTATCATTATCTTTTATAATAATAATAATACCCACGACAAGTACCGAATTGTGGGTATTTGTGCACTGTTTTGTCGAAATAATCTATTAGTTAAGTATTGTTACATAGTAAACTCCAGTTGCTGTGTGTTTGGAGGTAGAAATCAACAATTCGCTTTTTCTAAACCAGAAAACAGACGTAATAATTTTCCAAACAAACTACACAACTTTACATATGATGACAGAGAATGCCAACGAACTCCATAAAATTTGGATTTATTCTGTAAATATTTAATATTTTTTAAGTACAAAAATTTAATCATATCTTTTATGTTTTTTCACAATCCCTTTAAATCATACGATGAAAACAATTATTAAAAATAATTTATATGGTAAATTCGCTAATAATTTTCAAAAATGATTTGAAGAGCTATGGGGAGAAAGATGATAAAATCAAAAAACTATTTTCATTTTGAGGAATCTAGTATACGTGATAACGCAAAACTTTTCAAGCCCTCTCTGTATGTCATATACAGATGACATTATCAATTAGGAAATTAGATAAAAAACGCAATTTAAGGAAAGGCCTGTTAAATACTATAACAATTCCATACCATAAACTTTAATTGCTACAAATAGTGTATTGAATTCCCGAGTGACTGTAAACTTCCTGAACACCCAATCAATATCTGATAACTATTCCATTATACTATAATATGACGTGGCCGATCGGAGATTGTAAATGTGTGCGATTTTAAACTATAAGCACAATATATACCACAAGTGGTATCGATTATACATTATCATCATCATTATTCTTGGTGTGATAGTCTATGTAGGAACTGGGCCTGTCTTACAACACCCTTCAATTATTCTCTGTTCGTTGCTTTCTGTTTCCAGTTTATTCATCTCCTCTAGATAATTATGGACCCTGTCTTTCCATCGTTATCTTGGCCTTCCTTTTATTCTAGTGCTTTTGATATCATTCTGGAATATCTTATGTTGCACTATTGTTTCCAGCATTCTTATAACGTGATCGAGCCACCTTAGACGCACGCTGTTTTTTGATGAACTTGCTGATTTAATCGGAACCTATACAAAATGATGGAGTGCACCGCAAAATAAACAACCACGAGCTAAAACGACTAGTTTAACATCATTAAACATCAAAATCTATCCACAAGATGATGATCGTTTTTATTAACAGTTGGTGTGATAACTACAAAGTCGAGTTTTTCATTATTCAATCAAAATCTGTTACCTATTTAACCAAAAGGTAATACCAACACAAAAACGAATATTAATTAAATTACTAATAATACTAATAATAATTACTTGTTTTCATAAGATGGAGAAGATGTGTGTAACGCAGTGAACCAACTATTTCGCAACTATTACGAGTCAAATCGATCTTAGAATGTCTCTCCGCTTTTCTCTCTGAGTTTCTATCTGTTTTTGTGTGCCTGATATCACACAGGTACACGTACAGTACAGTACATACTTTGCTGTTTTATTTAGTTCGCTCACGAATTAGTTCACTGACAGACCTTATTCCATAGAGCTGCTCAATTATTTCAACAATTTAGTTCTTCATAGTTGACTAATTTTAGATGCAAAGTGTGAAGTTTAGTAAGATAATAGTATGCAGTTTGTTTAACTTTAGTAGGCATTCTAAATTTAGTATAGGCGTTTTGATTTTGTATAGAATCGTAATTATCTTATTGCATTATGCAATCAAACTAGTTCATAGGAATACTTTAAGCGATGTTGTTTAAAAAGGTTCTAAAACAAAACTTCAGTTTTTTTTTTTATATTATTTGGTAACTACTTCTTCGAATACATAAAAAATCCTAAAATAACGTCCAAGTTTGCCGAGGAAGCGTGTTTTGAGTTACAAAGAGAGATCTACAATACGTTAGCAAACTACAAAATATTTACTGTTCCACGCTGTTATTCTTCAATTTTTGCAGTGACATACAATATACATACATATATGTATATATGTATATAGATAGATATATACACATATGTACACATCTACTAGTATTTTTTATACTCGCTGTAACTACTTAACATGCGTGACTCGCATATTCGCATGTGGAGAAGAAGGCTAAGAAAGTCTGTGTACTCAGCATTTAGCGAATGTGAAAGCGTGGCAAGGCTTCATTTTATTTACCAATTTTATTTATAACGTAAACTTAATAAACATAAATGATCAAAGACGAATTTTTAAAATCAAATTTATTATGAATAATGCTAATCACACATGTATTTAGTATATGGGTTCAGTGAAAATTGAACATTTATTTATTAATGATATCTATGGTAGATACTTTAAGGAAATTCCGTAGATAAGTTAAGCATCTAAACTACTATGTTAAATAAATCAATTAATCAAAAAATACACCAATCCATCATCAGTACACAATTTAGTTGATAAAATTACTCAACAATTAATTTATTTTATATTAAGTCACAAGTTCACTTTTTAAAGCTAAAAACAAAACTCAATTTATAAATTATAAATTTTACAAATTTCAAAAAATGAAATTGAAAATTTTTTGCCTAATTTTTTACAAAGAATATTTGTTAAGGTTCAATGAACCTAAAATGATCAGAAATATATATACATATATATATATATATATATATGCATGCAAAAAAAAAACACAAATGCCGATCTTTCCTGCAGCAGCTTAATTAAAATCCCTTAAAATGATATTGCAAATCTTATATAAAAAACCAGAAATTGTGTCTACATGTGAATTAAAGAATTCGGCTTTGTTAATAATATAATTCACTTCGTGACGTCAAAAGACACTTAGTAGTGAGAGGCAAACAAAAAAGTTTACGAGATATAAAAAAAACCAGCATCAAAAAAAACCATAATCTTCATTTTATCATATTTAATTATTCCACACAAATAGATTTTGAATTACAAGTAGTTATACATTATAGTAATATTTTTTAATATATATATGTGTTGTTTTATATATATTAACATATATATGTAGATATAAAGATATGTACTTAAAAAAGTTTTATTGATTATTTAAAAACCTCATTTTGGGGTTCCCCAAACTTGGTCAAAAAAAAAAAATTGTTTAAATCATTTAAGTGTATTATTAGTGTATAATTAATTTGTCGCGAATGATCTTTATTTGTGTATCTGTTTAGATATTTTGCATAAACATATATATATTTTTACACATAATATACTATAGATAAAAATACTGGCCAATTTAAATACTCGTATCGTAAAAGAAAAGATTGCAACATTTTATACAAGATGCAATATTCTACAAATCTCAATCAAACTGCACCAACGTACTCGTGTATAAAAAGTATTCTTGTATATATTATAATTCTAAAGTTTTGAAATTGAATCTTAAAATAATGGTAAGTAATCCACCGATCATATGATCTGATATTATAATATGGGTTTAAAATTATTCTACTGTCTTAAATAGTTAGAATTCTCGCATTCATTCATGTCTGCATAATCTGACTTAGGTATATATTTTAATAAAATCTAGTAAGTTTCTTGCATTAGACATTTTTATGATATGGCGACTTCTATTCAAAATATTTCGATTTACATTATAAATATATATGTATATAAGTCTTAAACACGACAAATATAAATTTATTCGTCATAAATTTATGTAAGTACATATATGCCAAAAGTTGTATATTGACAAGCCTATACCCTAGTCAAGCATACGTACATATATGTATCGTCTTTCTTGATTCGCATTTAAATTTAAATACTTATTAAAAAAATGGCATTTGTTTAGGTAGTCAAACCAGTCTTGATCAGACTAATATATCCAATAAAATATTACTCTCATTCGATTCAAACATTACTACTGTTACCACGAAACTCGTTGTTCTAATCGTGTTAACTACATTTATTATACAAGTCTGGAAAGATTATAGAAAATTCATCTGATTTATAAATGATTGATTCTTTATTATTGTCGATTAGGGATTGTTTGAACAAAAGAAACGCTTTACGTTGATTTTTTATTTTCAATTTATTTTTTATAATTTATATATATAAATATATATAAATATTATCAACTTTTTTAACTTTATTTGACTTCTTCCAATATTTATATAGATATGTCCCGTTCTGCTTTTTCTCTGTTAAAAAAATACGCATTAATGGATTTTAAAAATCAATAACAAAACAATTTGACTTAGTAGAGACTTAAGCTCTAGACACATTTTCCTATCCGATAATTAATCCCCGACTATAACTGGAGGAGGACACTGAAACAAGTGTACGCAAGCATAACCTTGGTTTTCGCAGAAGTATAAATGAGAATCCTTATAATCTGATTATATTCTAACATATCTAAGAAATATGGCGAAGAATATTTTATAATTAATCAAGGTTTTTAAAAGCCAGAAACCATTGATCTTGATAGGATTGTTAAAACAGAATCCTATTGCAATTGCTGGTGATAATCACTTTGTTATCAGCACTGTGTAATGTATTTTTTATAAATTCAAGGTGACCAAGTGTCACAATTATATCATAGAATAGTTCGAATAATGAATATGTAAAAATATAGGATTACTTTAAACTGTAAGTGTAATACAACTAAAAGCATAGAATAGTTTCGCATGATAAATTATAAATAACCACTAAGCATTATAAAATATTTTGGGCGATATTCCAATTCAACCAGAGATATTCTTCTCTTCTTTTTCTTTATCAAACTCCACTAACACTCCATGTATGTATTTATTAGCTTCAGCAGAACTACGTTGTTAAAATATTTTTAGTATAATAACAATGACATCTGTATGGACATGTTATTTAAATTATTTGAAAAATATAACATATGTATATATCATGATTTTTGGTTGAAACTTAAGTCCATTGAACAGAGAAACAACATAAAACAAGCAGTTTTTGTATATTCAAAAGTAGAACTTACCAGTGTATGATGATAGCCCAAGCCATCTTCTTCGTTGCCACATTCAACATCTAGACCATGATTATTTGTATGTCGAAAATTGAATAGTGAAGAGGCATTTGAATGCGTCCGTATAGGCTGCACTTTGACTGTGTTCGGAGCTACCAGTAGAGATTCCATAGCTGCAGACCCGTTTTTTAACTTCATTTTGTTGATTAACTTTGATTTATTTGAATTGTCTTTGATTTTGTATTTTATTGTATTTGTTTATTTTAATATATATGTATTATATATAGAGATATTTACACAGTTCACTTCCTTTAATTTTAATTAAATTTTAATGCATTATTGTTATATTAAATGAGCGCAAACAAATTCGATTCACAATTAATTAAGTTAGCTATTTGAATGGACGCGCTTTAAATGCGTTGATTATATAAAAACTAATAAGAAAATTGTGGCGTTGACTGTCGTTTTGTCGTCTTCTCGTCTTGTCGTCTTTTCGTCTGTAACAAGATATTAATATAGAACACCAATGAAGAGAGTTTATTGACGACAGCGCGGTTTTGATGATGATAAGTAACTGAATGAGATACTAACTTTCACAAGAAAATTAAAGTTAAACAGTATGTCGCTTTGTGTTGTGAGTGTTATTATCAGTTACATTGAAGTCACTCCTCCAAATCGAGCGAGACGTTGGAAGAGAGGAAGTTGAGCTTGTCAGAAAATGGAGTAGTGAAATGCAATCAGTGCAATAATAAAAACTTACAAAAGTCGCGAAGTAATCGCATTGAGCATAAGTAGATATTACAAAAATTTTAAACTCGATTTTAAGTACTCAAATGCAAAAAACAAAAAAAAATTTAATTACATAGCAAAAATATTGGATGAGGTTTATTAAGATTCTTGTGCACTTCCAGCAATTTGAAGCGTTGCAGCGTGCTCGTGACTCGCATCTGTTACAGGAGCAAATTTGTATCTTCTTCGAACAGTTAAATATGGCTGGTATTTTGCAATTTTATTTTTCGTAAATATTCGGTATACATATAAGAATAGTTTGCTTTAGTTTGCATTCAGTCTCAGTTTACTTAAATACCTGTTTGCGAGGTAATGGTTTTCATTCGCAATTCGCGTATATCACAGTTTCATTATCTTTCAGGGTATCTTTACGACGGATAGTTGACACATTTTAACGTGCGTATATATATATCAATACACCAACTTTCACAAATAGAAAATAAGATTAATTGCCACTATTTATATGCACTAACATATATATATGAATATATAAATATATAACATATGTAAATGCAATTAGTATATTTATTTTCCACAATGTCGATTTTACTTAATTTTATATATTTATTTTATAAGATTTTTTTTGCTAATTAAGTTTAACTTCACAGCCACGTTTCAGCACATCCTTATGTAATAGAAGTCTAAAATGAATTTACTGGTTAACTGAAAAAAATAATAAACAAAAGTGTTGTTAATAAAATTATCACACGCGGGCTGCATAACTTAAAAATATTTTTGCAACATTGCGTTTTTCTTAACCTTGTATGCAAACATTAATTTAATTACTAAATTATATATTAAAATTTACATTGTTAAATATAAAACTGTATGAATACATATTTGCCAACACAACATCAACACTTTAGTTATCACTAAAGTAATCTCCCTTGAACTCGAAATATCCAGATATGCATTAGATTAAAACAATGCTCATCGCCAAAAAAAAAAGAATTTTTACAAATAAACATAAGTAGCTTTGCACTGGAGATTGTTATGAGAGTATTAAAAGAGTATAATACTATACATTCCCCTTCCGTATATATCAATAGATGGCCGATAGAATCGCTGTCATATACTTAAGGATCATCAAAGTCAAAAATTTGACAAGAACTCTTAACAATTGCAATTCAACAATTCATAATGGTTCGCTAAATTGTCGTGCCAATCGTTCCACTAACCACTTCCGTCCGAGTTTTCCCCTATACAGGGGTTGTGAAACGAAATAGTTGAGTTGAATTGATTAGTGTGTATCAGAGCAGCCCCAATGATAATAGGATTGAATATAGGTATGTTATATACGAGTATAATGCTGACTTAGAGACCTAAGTGCTGTAAGATTCTTATATCGATAAAAATCTACTACTTATTCTATTCCAGAAAGTTTAAATTCAGTAAAACACCAGCATGTGGAATTTCCTAAATTCGTTATTATTTTTTATACTTTAAACTTGAAAAATTAATTAACAGCAGTTTTTTCCTATAGTTTGTTTTTTTTTTTTTTTTGTGTTTTAGTAAATTATGTAACCCACAGCACAGCATTTCGAAAGATAAAAATGAATATCGTAATTATCAATAACTACTGTGTTAAATCACACCACGACATATCCCTTCGCACTGTAATTACCATTCATAAAATATTTAACTATTAAACTTCTAATGACTGTTAAAAAAATTGTTCAAAGTAAAAAATTTATTGCTCCTAGAATATACATATTCAGTGTTGGGAGTGGGGAAACCTTATATGGCGATAAACTCACGTTATCACTTTCTGCATAGTTGTTCACAATCCACGTTGAAGTTTCCAGTTATATTCCAATGTTATGTTTGATTTCAAATACATCGTGGACCATTCTATGTTTTAGAGGATGGTTACAAAATTTTTCAACGAATACTTGTATAATTCATTCTTCTGATTTACTAATTGCTTGCGTAAATGTGCGTAAAGTAGGGTATCTGTCAACAAATGTAAGTGTGACGTTTCGCTTCGTATTCCTTTTTCATTAGAGATATTGTAACCAAGCATTCTCTATCCATAATGCTAACAGAAGCGAAAGCCATTTTATTTCTATAGAAGAATATTCTACTTTTCAATAACATGAACTATTTAAATAGTTTATAGAATTATCTGTAGGTTTTAATCGTGGTATAGCTATTAATTTAACATGTAATTGTGGTTGAGTATCATAACCAAAACTACCTTTTATAGGATGAATTCTTCCATATGATACAATAGTTCTTGCATATACGTCATTTATATTATTTATAACAATTGGAACAGTTGCTGTTTTTCTTTATCCAATATCTCTAAGAATAGGCTTATTACCCGCTTCAAAAAATTTTAATGGATATTTATATTATAAATATAATATTGTAAATATATATTTAATAATATTCTGTTAACATTTAACAGACCGTGTTCAGCTTCATGTGTTCTGACTCTGCAATTCTTAATGCGGAACCAACACTCATTGCACCTACGAATAAAGAATTAGACGAGATTGCTCTCGTCTCTTAGCAAATATTTTCGCACCAGAACATCAGAACACCAGAACACCAGATAAAACAAGAATTATAACACTCTCTGGATAGATAAGAATAGCACTTTCAAATACAAAATATTTGTGCCAACAAGAAATCAGAATGGAGCTGTATGATCATTGTGCGAGCTACAGAATATAATTTTGTACGTACATGTGTACAAGTAAATATGTTTGTCTAATTAGCAAACACCGCCATACAGACATACAGTGTGTATGTCACACTGCAACCGTACAGCGCTGTGGGCATCGTGTAGCACTTTCGCAGCAGCTGATCTCGTTTTATGTTAACTAGTCTTTTATGGGAGCAAAAACGTTGCTTAAGCGAGCTGTAAACAAACAAAGTAAACTGCTGTAAACGTTTTTACTGCTGTTGTAGTTTTTGTTTTCTAGTTAATTTGTGTATATTTATTTTTTCTTATCACTGCTGGCATTCCCGCTTGGATTATGTCGTCTGAAAAAATTATTTATTGAAAGCATAAAAAACTGTTGAAATATTGAATATTTTCGCTGAATTTTGATTATTTAACGAATGTAAAAGTTATATTATGCGCCGCTATTGTATATGTATGTTTTATATATTTTTATATATTTTTATGATTTGTATTAAATATTACTATTATATTTCATTGAATTTGATTTTAATAAGGAAAGTATTTTTGTTTGAAAAATATTTTTATTTAAATTTTCAACTATTAAAAATTTATTTTTTTATCTATTTAAGTACAATTCGTACACAAGTTTTTCTTTTTTCTGTTTTTTCTAAGTAGTTTGAAACAAAACTGCAAATTTACAAAAGTCAGATAAGAGATACGCACACCTGTAACTGCTAGAGAAGCGATGGCAACTGGTGTTTGCAACTCAAGTCACATAGCAGAACAGACCGACAAAGCTTAGCTTCGATACTGACTTCGACTTTGACTTCGACTTCGACTTCAACCGCTTTACACAGTTTCCGAAAACAAAATGAATATCTGAGATACTCGTTTAGTATTTTCGCTGTTAGTTGTTTCGTGAAGTCCCACCAAAGCCTTTGTATGAATTTATTTGCTTCTGTTCACTGTGTTTCACTTGATCTCATGTCATTAAATGCGATAATTGCACACGACGACAGCGATTATTATATTCCGATTGAAGTACACACATTTAAATAAATACGAATCTATTAGTATGTTTATTTAATAATTTAATAGTTCATATGCAATACAAATAATAAAGTAACCAATAATAAAGTGATTACTTTAAAACATTTATACAAATCGTATACCCAGCAAGTGTACGCTCAGCATGATCAATTACAGATAATATCTTTTACAAAAGTTATAGGTAAGCAGAGTCTCTTTTTAGAATAGTGAAAGGTTATCAAAGAAATTAAAATTTCAAAACATAGTACTTTCTGTGAACAAAAAAATCTCCAATAATACAAATCTTCTGACAATTCGAAGTTCGAAGTTGTGAAAGACTTTGTTATTTAGGACCCAGTTTAAACACCAAAAGTGACGTCAGCTTAGAGATTTAACGAAGAATCGTTCTTGCCAACTGTCGACAAATGAAAATTACGCTCTTCAAATCTCTTAGCATGTCTGCCCTGTTGTATGGTGCAGAAGCTTGGACAATTACTAACAGTGATGAGAAGGCGTTAGGAGTATTCGAGAGAAAAATTCTTCAGAAGATCTATGATTCCTTACGCGTTGACGGCACGAACCGATTTAGATGGAACGATGATCTATACCTTGACATTGACATAGTTAATCGTGCGAATGAAAGGAAGTGCTCCGGCTAGAAAGGTTTGTGATTCGGTACCCGCAAGTGGAAAACTCGGTAGAGGAGGTCCGCAACTTGTATACATTATATATATATATAATTCTAACGTACAATGTTGTGAATATGCCTATGCAGCATATTCCCATCATTGACTTTAGCCATATCCAAAGAGCCAGACTGCTGCAATATGAAGCTTCATATTAGTGAGATAATAAAGTGTGTGCAAATGCTGGCGATTCACGTCTGTAATACTAAGTTTTAAATACTAAGTATTTCATTTCAATTTTTTTATTAAATTCATCACATCATAACGATGATTTTGAATGGTTTATACCCTCTAAATTATACATGTATATGGCTATGTATTATTAACGCATCATGACGTGATTGAATGGTAAACAAAAGTATAATGCATCAGAAAGATCTCGCTGAAGTAGATTTCTGGCTATGGGTATACTTCTTATCCTTCAAATTAACATAACTCAGCTTTATATGCTGAGTTTTTAATCATCAAAATTTTAGAATTGTTCGGATAATTTCTCTGCGCACCATTTCATTTATATATGTATATATAGAGTATTTCATGTCAAAGTGCGTTAACTTCGGAAGGATTTTTCTTGAAATAAAAAGATCAGTTTCATGAAATAAAAAATCATTTTTTTCGTAAAATAGTATCTAGGAAAAATTTTATTCTATCAAATAAACTTAAACTTTATGCCTAACATCTGTGTTTTCTGTAAGAATTTGCCTTTAAATCATGCCCAATTTTTCTGTAATTTGCTTTTAAAACGAGGAGTTACGTACGTGAATTTTTTCCAATAAAAGTGCACAAATTTCCTAGTACGTATGAGTACTAACGAATATACTTACAAGCAAAGTTACAGAAGAACTCGCACAATTCGTATTAATAAACTCAAGAAACTCAATAATAATCTCAATATATGTATGTTCTAACATCTTTAATCAATAGGGCCTCTTATGAGGTTTTAGGAAACACAGCTGATGAAAATATATATGATTAAAGTAAAAAAATCTAGTAAAGTATTTACGACACTTAACATATTCTAGTCATCTGTAGCGGTGGAAAAATCGTTAAAAGAAAAACAACACCAATTTGGCTAAATGCGATCGTTTTTATATACCATATAAGGGATGAAATCTTATCTTATAATTTTTTTCTTAAGCTGAGACTATAAAGAGAGACTCCTAATACATTTTAGCAAAATAAAACCAAAACTCACCTTTTAAATTCAAACTACTTAAAATAGTTAAGAATTTCGTTAATGTTAATTTCTGATAAATGTACGATTCAATATAATATAAATATCTTGCCAACTACACAAGTATTATATCCGATCTTCAAAGTTTTCAAAATACGATAATCGGGTTTGAATGTAATGTTTGGAACACTAATTTTACTGCACGAGCACTCAGTGAAAATGTACTTATTCATTACAAAAACAGTTTCCGCACATATTTTACCGCATTTAATATTATGCATATTAATTAACATTCGGTTTATATTTAAAAAAAATAAACAGAAAAATTTACAAAAAACACCTTAGATCACACTAATCACAGAGTACGGTCGATACTAAATGAAAACTGTGAACGCTGATAGCGTGAGTTGATCCAGAATTCGCGAGAGTTACGACAAAAATACTTTATTGATTTTTGTTTCTTTTGCACCGATTCTCTGCCTCTCCAAAGACAAATACCTTATGTTCTGTTATATTTAAAAAAAGTGACTCGATTGTTCTTTGTATTTAACCAAAAAATAATATGTCAAAATGTGTGCATCTATAATATTTAATTGTATCTATAGTGTGCTGTTTCCTGAATCTTCCCTTTCCTTGGAACAAAATTCTTCCTGTATTTGTGTTTCTTTTTTTTTGGTTTGTACTCTATAAACAATTATAATTTCACTTCGTGTATATATAACAAAGTAATTATTGTTTTGTTTACCTCTTGACAACCGAGAAACAATATAGACGAACGTGTTATCAAGAAACCGCATTTCTAAAAGTGTTATCGCACTCCGTTACGTAGTCCAAACATGTACTCTGTACAACACTACAACGCGTTCTATTCAATCAGCTGTTCCTAAATAAAACTTCGCAAATTTTATTAATTCTCTTGCTTGCGTACTTATTTTTTTTTATTGCTCAATTTTTTATATCTAGAAATCATAAATAACGAAAGTCACAAGTCAAATGCCTAATTCCATACGGGGAACATATATAATCGCACTGTATATTACCCAATATCGATACAGATACGACGCATCACAAATCACTCAAAATTTTATTATCAAAACATTTTTGCAAATCTTTTTTCAGTGGTACACATATATTTATATATATGTATATAAACAATAATTTTGTTAAGATATTTTCACTAAATGTGACGCATTTAAATTGCAGAAAGTCTCTTTGTTTTACTTATGGTATATGGCCTATATACCTATACTATATATGTACTATATATGTGAACATTAATGGTCTACACTCTAGAAAAACGAATTAAAATATTCTGTATTATTTCGTTAAATCAAGAAATTGAAAAAACAACAACAATTTCATCTAGTTACTACTAACTCTATTTACTATTTTAGTTGAACTTTTACATCTTAAGGTTTCATTTGATTCACTTCTCTTTTGAAAAAGTGTCCAATATACTTATACCATTACTTAACCTAAAGAAAGACTTTACATATTAGTATATCAGTATCACTTCTAATAGTAACCATAATAACCATAATAACCATAACCATCGTTACCATAAAAATACACTAAATTTAGAAACACCATATATAGAATATAAGATTCAGTAATTATCATTTTGCACGATCAGTTGAGTATGAAAATAGTTATCAGCGAGATAGTTGTCATGATTTCTCTCACATATTACAACAAATATAACACTGTGATAACTATAACAGCGTTTGACCCAAAACTCTACATATTATTGGGTAAGGCTTTAAACCTTACCCTTTTTCGTTTATGACCGCAATCTGTTTCAACATCTTTCTTGAAGTGGTGATCTTAGTTTCAAATCTATATTAGTGCTGGAAAGTATATGTACAATTTTGGAACTAACATACTAATATTTGACCAGTCTGATGTTCAAATATGCTTGTATTTGACCATTTGACTCAAGCACATCGGGCTTGAACATTCAAAAATGTTCGAACATCATAATGTGTTCGACCATTAGCTGTTATATGTTACGTATGTATTTGCATAGAACAAAACGAAAATATAGTGAGGGGGAGTACGTCTGTTTTTCGAGCAGCTCGAACATTTATTTATATATATATATATGCACATAGTATATATGTATGTATTAACCAAACATATTTGAAGATTTTTATGCATATATAATTATTATCATTTTTTGTTTTTGGTTATGATTGTTGAAATTCAAAACGTTGAATATTATTTATACATGTGTTATTATTTACAAATTAAATACGAGTATATATAATTTTTGCTTTTAAATAAAAATAAATAAATGCAAATACAAGATTAAATTCATTTAAAATATGTAAATTTTTTTAAAAATTAATATTACTTATTATACGAGTTATTCTTAAATGTTAATGTTAATTTACTTATAATTGATTAAATTTTAGATTCGAATTTGTCCAAATTCCCAAAATGAAAATAATTGGAGATAAAAAACCACATTATTGCTTTATAATTAATTTATTTATTTAAATATTCCAAAGTTAAACAATAACTCGCTAAAAACCTATGGAATAATTTGAAATTTTTTTAGTTGTATATATTAAACCAACAATATTACGAGCAAAACGATTAAATATTGCTCGCGGGAGTTAATGAGTTAAATTCCAGGCAAAAACTTTGTCAGAATTATTAAGTATAAATAATTTTCATTCAATGATTTTGTTTTAATAAAGTATAAGTTCAAGTTTTGCACCTAAAAAATAAAACAGACTGTAGAGAGTATAACACTTGTTCGCTTTAGTTCAGCAGTGGCGATATGAATCTTCAGGATATACAGTGATAAAACAAAAAAGGCTCTTAATATTACTATTTGTTACGTATTCGCACCTTCTTTTTCTCTGGACAATATGCCCCAATCTCTCCTTTTATTTCAGAAAGGGTGCAACCCTTTCTGAAATTCAGCTAAATATTTTCTCTTTCCATATGTTGTGACTTTCCGTAGAG